AAAAGAATTTAAAAAAAATATAAACGCGACCAGTTCTCGTATTTTTTATGGGACCTTATTTCACCTACAAGTTTACTGGCTCAAGAATATGTTATATAGGAGTACCTAATGCAATGGAACCAATCTTAAAGGCAGCACAACACCCAGAACACCTTCTGAATTCTTGATGGATTCTGAAGCAGTGCTTCAAAAATGGTCTGGTACCAATTGTCAGCCCCGGAGGGTACAGGCTTGGTTGGCCTGGTGGACGGGATCGAACCTTGATCCTGTGGCTACTAAGCAGCGCCTCAGACACTAGGCCACGCGCCCCAAAAAATGGACTAGAGTTCAAAAATATTCCAGATTCCAAAATCATCCCAAAAATTCATTATTCCAAAAATTATTGCCGTTCAATATCTTTTCCTGATTGAGAAAATCGCTCCAGAAGAGAGGTCGTGCATATAGACGAGACGAGAAAAGACGTCTTCGCGGACGAGTTATCCCTGTATATACTAAAGCGACCCGTACTACTGTGCGCTTGCTGCTAAAGCCCCATACTGCCACCGGTGTGAGGAGACAGATTCATCTATGGTCAGTTGCAAAAGCGCTTCAACTAAAGGGCACGACGGAATTAACAGCTCGTCCGCGAAATCGCGCAGATACCAGGAGTGAGTTTTGAGCAGGTACTTTTGAACCCTATACCCTTTTTGAGGCCGTGTTTCAGGGTCCGTCAAGTACTGAGAAGTCGATCTCAGTGTGGGTGCTGCCTTTGTTTTTACTCTATTTTTATCTATTTCATTATCCACTTTAATCGACAGAAAGCTCAAAATCAGCACCAATATTAAGAAATCTTATGAGCAACTCCTGCATTTATTTTATAGCTTGCACCCACCTGAAGCTGCTTATTTTTGGCATTATTCCATAATAATTAGTTTTTAAGCTGCTTAAGAGAAACGCTACTTGGACTTTGCTTACTTATTTTTGCAGTAGTCTGTAGAAGTGAATTTTCGTAACAGTCTTACAATATTTGTATTCACTGAAGCATACACACAGCTAGGTATTCGGTCACTTATCGCAGACTGCCGAACCAAAGCTCAGCCGTTTTATTTTCATTGTCAGATACATATTGTTTCCAGTTGTGTTTAAACACTTTTTATTCTTAGGTATCTAGGGCCTCCTAATTTCTTAAACTGATTAAGAAACTATTTTTTTATAGTCTTGAACCAGTTTGTTTACACATGCTAAAAAAAATAAGCTCCCCCGCAAGTGCACCCACAGCCTGAAGTCTTTATCAGAGCGCTACCAACAAAAAGACGAGAAAACTTTGAATTTTTTTGAAGAAGCTGCGCCAGTTCTTTACCTCATTGATGGCAAATATTAGCTCCTTTTATGGCATTAGCGCTGGCTATTCTAAATGAATAGAAAAATAATCATGATCCTCCGAAAAAATTAAAAGAATGATGCTGGTTCCCGAAATTTCATCATGCCAGTTTCTTAAAAATCATTTTGATAAAATAGAAATTTCTGGAGAAACCTTAAGAAGAAAGGAAGCCGACACTTTTTGATAGAACCAACATAACTATCGTGATTACTTGGATTTCTGGCATAAGTAAAATCTTACAGTGAAACTGGTTTATATTTATAGAAAACTTGCATTCAAGCTTTTACCTGCAAGTACAAACCCACTGAAAAGTTGGAGTAAAACAGATTACCATATCGCCCACTTTTTACCACATATTTACCTATAATTTGCTTTGATTCCTGAGCATTCAGAAAATGAGTGAGATGACTGACCACGGAAGCAGCCGGGTGAAAAGGAAATTTACTAGAAAAATCATTACTATGCAAAATTTCTCCGGACTTCTCAAACGTACAATAATTGCTCCGTCATCTCGAAAAAATCAATAACATCCCGCTATCTCCGCAGAAACTGATTAGCCGCAATTTTATATCATCTCCAAAACAGGAAGATCGAGTTTCTGCAGTCACAGCATGCCATGGTGTACAGGGATGATATAAATCGATATATCGATTGGATTAGCAGAATTGAGCTTGCGGAAATTGACTTGTTGTATTTT